TTCTGTAAAAAGAAGTAACACGGCTCAGGATATAAAAGCAGATAGCAAAAGTTTCTACAAATATGTAAAACAAAAAATATAAGGTAAATATTGGTCCTTTCGTGGACGAGGAGGGAGATTTTAATAATGGGAAATGGCCAAGGCATTGAACAGATATTTTCTGTTAGTCCTCAAAGTGGAAGACACAAATAATACAAATAATTGATGACAAGGAGCCAATGGCAGGCAAAGACCTAGAGACAATCATTATCACTAAAGAGGTAGTGTTGGGCAAGGTAGACAAGTCTCTTGGCCCTGATGGAATGCATACCAGGGTACTAAAATAGATGGCAGGGGAAGCAGCAAATGTGCTCGCAATAATTTACAAAAATTCGCTGGAGTCTGGGGTGGTTCCGGCAGATTGGAAAACACAAATGTGATGCCACTGTTTAAGTAAGGAGGTGGATAAAAGGTGGGTAACTATAGACCCGTTAGCTTAACTTCCGTAGTGGGGAAAGTGCTTGAATCTATATTTAAGGAAGAAGTAGTGAGACATCTGGATAGAAATTGCCCCATCGGGCAGATGCAGTATAGGTTCATGAAAGGCAGGTCATGTTTAACTAATTTACTGGAATTCTTTGAGAACATTACAAGTGTGGTGGACAACAGGGATCTGGTGAATGTGATGCATCTGGATTTCCAGAGGGCATTCAACAAAGTGTCACACAAAGGGCTGCTGCATAAAATAAAGGTGCATGGCGTTACAGATTATGAAGTAGCATGGATAGAGAATTGGTTAACTAACAGAAAGCAAAGAGTGGGTCTAAAAGGGTGTTTTTCTGGTTGGCAGTCTATGACTAGTAGTGTGCCTCAGGGATCAGTGTTGGGACCGCAATTGTTTACAATTTACATCGATGATTTGAAGCTGGGGACCAAGTATAGTGTGTCAAAGTTCGCAGATGATACTAAGATGAGTGCAAAGTGTGCAAAGGAGATGGAACGTCTGCAGAGGGATAGGTTAAGTGAATAGGCGAGGGTCTAGCAGATGGAGTACAATGTTTGTAAATGTGAAGTCATCCATTTTGAAAGGAATAACAGCAAAATAGACTATTACTTAAATGGTGAAAAATTGCAGCATGCTGCTGTGCAGAGGGACCTGGGTGTCTTCGTGTATGAATCACAAAAATTTGGTTTGCAGGTAGGCAGGTAATTAAAAAGGCAAACGGAATTTTGTCCTTCATTGCTAGAGGGGTGAAGTTTAAAATCAGGCAGGTTATGCTACTGCTGTATAGGATGCTGGTGAGGTCACAGCTGGGGTACTGTATACAGGGTGGGGCTCTTTACTTGAGAAATAACGTACTGATACTGGAATGAGTGCAGAGGAGGCTCACCAGGTTGATTCCGGAGTTGAGAGGGTTTGCTTATGAGGATTGAGTAGACTGGGACTATACCCATTGGAATTCAGGAGAATGACGAGGGATCTTATAGAAACATAAAATTATGACGGGAATAGCAAGCAGGGAGGTTATTTTCATGAGCGGGTGAAATAGAACTAGGGGGCATAGCATCAAAATAAGGGGGACCAAATTTAGGACTAAGGTGAGGAGGAATTTCTTCTCCCAAAGGGTTGTGAATCTGTGGAATTCCCTGCCCAGTGAAGCAGTTGAGGATACCTCGTTGAATGTTTTAAGGCAAAGATAGATAGATTTTTGAACTGTAAAGAAATTAAGGATTATGGTGAGCAGACGGTTAGGTGGAGCTGAGTCCATTAAAAGGTCAACCATGAACTTGTTGAATGGCAGAGCAGGCTTGAGGGGCCAGATGGCCTACACTTGCTCCTATTTCTTATGTTGTTATGTGTGTTCTTATGTACTTACCTGGTGGAATTCCAGATCAGGATTATTAATCAGATACTGCACAACATAAGGGAGGGGTAGAAATACCTAGACACTTTGTTCTGGAAGACTGTCACACCTCTTAAAACAGAGTTGTTAGTTTACATCAGCAGTGAGGGCTAGGATGATGTGACTCTGAATGAGGTAGGTAAAGCACTGAGTAAAATAATAGTAGAGAAGCCTCAGACTTTGCAATTGTAAGCAGGTTTGAGGTGTTCTCAGTCTATGTGGATGTAAGTGAGGTCTGCACAAGGTGGATGAGCAGTTTGGCCATGGCATCATAATAAAGGAAGCCATTCAAGCAGAGGTGAGCAAAATCGATTGTAGTGGTGGCCAGGACAGTAATTACAGAATCGCTACAGTGCAAATAGAGACCATTTGGCCCATCGAGTCTGCCTCCTTTTATTCATTCGCAGCATTTATTGCCCATCCCTAATTGGCTAGAGGGCAGTTAAGAATCAACCACATTACAGTGGGTCTGGAGTCACAAGTAGACCAGACCAGGTAAGGATGGCAGTTTCCTTCCCTAAAGGACATTGGTGAATCAGATGGATTTTTCCAACAACCGGCAATGGATTCACGGTCATCATTAGATTCTTAATTCCAGATATTTATTGGATTCAAATTCCACCATCTGCCGTGGCAGGATTTGAACCCCAGACCTCAGAACATATCTGGATAATCTGATAATTATCCAACATTATCTGGATTAACAGTCCAGCAATAATACCACTAGGCCATCGCCTCGACCTTCTGAAGAGCATCCCACCCAATTCCTGTGTTTACCATTGCTAATCCACCTAGCCTACACATCCCTAGATACTACAGGGCAAATTTGCTTGGCCAATCCATCTAACCTGTACATCTTTGGACTATCGCAGGAAACTAGTGCACCTAAAGGAAACCCACAAAGACACAGGGAGAACATGCAAACTCCACACAGACAGTCACGCAGGCTGGAATTGAACCCAGGATCCTGGCGCTGTGAGACAACAGTGCTAACCACTGTGCCACTGTGCTATCCAAAATTGAGGGGATTTATGCCCTTTATTGCATTGAAGAGTATAAGTCCAGAAGATGTGTTACCAACTTGGTGCCAGGGTTCAGAACATCTGCTCAGGGCTGGAGAAAACCTCGGAAGTGAAAGGGGGATGATCCAGTTGTCGTGATCCACATATATACCAGCAACATAGGTAAGATAGAGACCTGTCCGTCTTCTCTCCCACCTATCCGCTCCACTATCTACCAGCTACCACCACTGCCCCCTCTCTATTTAGGTCAGAGCCCCTTCCCTCCCCCATTTCTGAATAAAGGTCCCGACCCGAAACTTCAGCTTTCCTGCTCCTCTGATGCTGCCTGGCCTGCTGTGTTCCTCCAGCTCCACACCTTGTTATCTCAGACTCCTGCATCAGCAGTTCTTACTATCTCTGAGTGAGTTGCGCCGTGTCGGATAGGGTGATGGGCTGAGCATGTTGTCAGGTAAAGTGGGGATGGGGGGGGTGGGTGCAAATCAAGTCCAGTGGTAGTGGGTTGTTGCCATGGTTGCCAGAGATTTAAGATATAGAAGCAGGCCGTTGAGCCCATCAAATCTGTTCCACCATTCAATGACATCATGCTCATCTGATAATCCTCAACTCCACTTCCTTCCTTTTGCCCACAACCCTGATTTCCTCCCTGATTAAAAACCTGTCTACTCATCGTTGAATATACTTTACAATCCAGTCACAACAGCTCCCTGCAGTAAAGAATTCCACATATTTAGCCATTAGTTTCCCTGGCACTTTTTCTCAATCAATAGTTAATGTATTTATTTTGTCTCCTTCTTCTGCCCCTTGATTACTTCGTAATTTTGGAATGCTATTATTGTGTTCTACTGCAAAGATGCAAAATATCTATTCAATTTCTCTTCCATTTCCTGGTTCCCCATTATTATTTGCCAAGCCTTGTTCTCGAAGGAACCTTTGTTCACTTTGGCCTCACTCTTTCTTTTTATATATGTAAAGAGGCTCTTGCTGACTATCTTGACATTACTTGCAAGTTTACCCTTAAAGTTTATGTTCTCACTCTTTATTATTTATTTTGGTCATCTTTTGTTGGGTTTTAAATATGTCCCAACACTTATTGCCACATCATATGTCTTGTCTTTCAATAATACACTATTCTTATCTTGCCTAGTTAACCATGGTTGGCTTATCTCCTTTCTAGAATCCTTCTTTCGCAATGGGTTATATCTTTGCTTGGAACTATGAACTGGCAAACGTCTTTCCTAAGGGATCTATTTACGCCGACATAATTTTATTAAAGTTGTCTTCACTTCTCCTCTATGCTGTACAGCTTTACATGGCACTGTTCTTGATTCATAGCAATATAAGAGAGATATTCCCAGAAGACCCCTTTCTCAGTATGGTTTTCTAAGAGTAGCTCACCTTTACCTCAAAGGTTTCTTTCAATGCCTCCTCCTCTGCTCTTGATGCTGAAAATACTGTCCCCACACCTAGGCAAGGACATGTTATTTTCTAAAATAAAGACAGAAAATGCTGGAGAAATGCAGCAGGTCTGACAGCATCTACTGAAAGTGATTAGATATGTTATAAGCTGATGAGGAAGGGTGATTGGTTCCTCTATTTTTAAACCCCTTTTCATCGGTCATAACAAATACTTATTATTGTTTGCTAGCATGCAACTTTCACATTTCATGTACTTTCCTTCAGTGAAAGAGAAAGGAATTTTAGTACCATCACTCCAAAAAACAATAAAAATGTGACAACCCACACATATACACAGATAATAACATTATAAAGAAGTTGGGGAGGAATGTCTAGTATAGCTAGGATGGTAAAGGCACCTGCAGTGTAAAGATCTTAGAGTCGTTGAGATATGAGAATGATCTGCGTTGCGTTATCACCTTTGAGGTGAAATCCTTTCAAAAACTCAATATGTGGATAAGGCATGCTCTCGAGTTTCTTCTTCCAGAGGACAGGGAGAGCTTTGTGATCAGCAGCCTGAAGGCAAAAGATGGCTTGTAACGTCATCTCAGTCTGAGTATCAGCCAATCTTTTATGCCAGACTTTATGACGTGAAGCCCAGAGACAGCACGGCCACCCAATTAGTCCTGTCCTCTATCACAGAGGCCTCAGATGATAGTATGTGGGAGAGGCTGGACCGGCTGTTATCTCTGGATGAGCTGACCAAGGCCCTCGTGTCCTTTGAAAAGAATAAAACTCCCAGGATCGACAGCTTATTGGTGGAGTTGTATTCAGCTCAAGGGACTTGATTGGCAAGGACCTGCTTGAGTTGTACTGTTGTATGTCTCTGACAGGGAACATGTGCAAATTCATGAAGAATGGTATCATCACCCTCTTCTACAAGTGGAAAGGGGAGAAGAAGGAAATTAGAAATTGGCAACCAATTTCAATGCTGAATGCAGATTACAAAATCCTGTCTGAGGTGATCGCCAACCGGGTCAGATCTGCTGTGGGATTGGTGATTCACCCTGACCAAACCTTTACTGTACTGGGCAGGATGATGTCTGAGAGCACTCCTCAGGGATATGATCAGCTACATGCAGGACAGGGCTTGGGCATCTGCCTCATCAGCCGGGACCAGGAGAAGGCCTTTGACAGGATATCGCACATACAGATAAGGGGCGGCACAATGGCTCAGTAGTTAACACTGCTGCCTCACAGCGCCAGGGACCCAGGTTCGATTCCAGCCTCGGGCAACTGTCTGTGTGGAGTTTGCACTTTCTGTCTGTGTCTGTGTGGGTTTCTGCCAGTTGCACCAGTTTCCTCCCACAGTCCAAAAATGTGCAAGTTAGGTGGATAGGCCATGCTAAATTACCCATAGTGTTCAGGAATGTGTAGGTTAGGTGCATTAGCCATGGGAAATGTAAGGTTACAGGGACAGGGTAGGGGAATGGGTCTGGGTGGGACAATCTTCGGAGGACTGGTGTGGACATATTGGGCTGAATGCCCTGTTTCCACACTGTGGGGACTCTAAAGGATGTGGGACATTCTCTTAAAATTGAGCTTTGGCAAGGGAAAATTAAATCTGACTTGCTCTACACTAATATTGTTAGTGCAGCCTCTATCAACCGGTGGGAATCAGAAAGCTTCCCAAACAGATCTGGAGTCAGGCAACGCTGCCTGCTCTCTGCTACCTTGTCTGTGTGGTGTATAGAACGTTTTGCCGAGTCCATCAGGAAGGATACGAGCCTAAGAAAGGTGACTATTCTGGGCAGCAGATGTCTGCAGGTCAATGCCTCTCCGTACGTGGATGACATTGCCATTTTCTGCTTAGATCCCCCAGTGCGCACTCATGAGTATCTACAAAGAGTCTGAACTGACCTTGGGACCTAAGGTAAATCAAGGCAAGAGCAAGGACATACAGTACTTTTTCCCTATGAAACCTTTTAGCCTCTGCAATTCTATCTACTACATTATGATGTGCAATCAGATCTATTTCTTTGACAAAGTTTCAGGTCACCCCTCCCGTAATTTATTGTATTTGTCCAACTGCATTTCTGCTGTCTTATAATATTAATGGTTATATTAATACAAGTTGCTGTTGTATACATTGAATGTTTAGTTATTCTCATTATTTCAGTTCAGTCTCACCTTTATGGTAACTGAAAGAACCACCAGGTTTTCACCTGACAAACTCTGTTCGGCATAGTATTCTCGATCTTTCACTGTGACCTGAAGAAAAGGAATGCAAGTGAAATAGCACAACTAAAAAAAAAACAGCAGTGATTTGAAAAATGTCCTTGAGGTGGCAGGGTGAGGAATGAATTATAGTTTTGAGACATTTCTGCAGCAACTTTACTCTGCTTAACAGTCTTTTAGGTGAGAATATGGGGTGTCTAGATTTATTCATTGGTTTGATTGAAAATTAGTGCAATAATTAATGAGCTGAAGTTCTAGCACTGCATACAATTTGAGCCTGGATTTTCGGGCGTTAGGCTGGGTGCGACCTGATTCCAGGATTCCCATCCCATTCTCATTTCCAGCAATTTTTGCCGATGTGAGATAATGATTCAGGTAGTGAGCCCACATACAGCACTCCCATCTGACACCTCCTAATCTTCCGTAAATAAACGCACAGGCATGGAAAAATCTCTTCAAAGACAAATCAGGTTATTTCCAGGTAATAAAGGTATCAGTAAAAAAGTTATCACTTCTTTGCAAGCTATGTCCATGTTTTCTGTTGGGATTATTATCTATTCTTGGAACTCAGATGAGCCATCATAATGAAGTTATCTGAAAAGCTAGATATCTGGAAATCTGCTCAGCCTTCTTTTTGATACCATTGACATATTAAGAGATGTGAAGTGAATTAAAGGTTTTTGGCACTAATACTATGAATTAGTACAATCCATTGACATCACTGAAGAGATTATAAAACGAGCAACTGTTTATAGCAGATTTTTCAAAGTTTCTTTGCTCATTGTGTTGGTATCAGCAGCATTTCAAAATTTGACACTTCACAACATTTCACTGGTTCTGTCGCAGATACAAGAAGAGTGGGTATGAAAGATACATGGGAGGGCACGGATGCAGCATTGGAGATATAAGAGATCATTCAGGTGTCATTGTAGAAAAGATGGGGTATATACAGAATTTTGGTGGTTGGGAAGTAAAAGGAGTGCATGGTGTGAGCATGAGGTCTTAACAGTCAAGATTTCAACTGGGTCAATGTCCCAGGAAAAAAAGAGTTTGTTCATCTAACCATCCACTTGCCTCCATTGACTGCAGCGAGCCTGACAGGGTTGATATTGAGAGATGCTTCCCCTAGTTAGAACGAAGGAAACAGTTTCAGTATGAGAGATCTCCCAATGGTGACTAGATGAGGAAGAATTTCTATTCTCAAAGGATTACACTATAGAAATGTGGAGATTGTATAAGGAATGCATACTGCGTGTGATCGATATGTTTGTCCCTAGCAGGCAGGGAAGATGCAGTTGAGTGAGGAAGCCTTGGTTCTCGAGAGAGGTCGAACGACTAGTTAAGAGGAAGAAGGATGCTTATATAAGGTTTAGGAATCAAGGATCGGAAAAGGCTCTAGAGGGATACATGTTAGCCAGGAAGGACCTGAAGAAAGGGCTTAGGACACCAAAAGCGACATGAGAAAACCTTAGCAGATAGGATCAAGGAAAACTCCAAGGCTTTTTACATGTATGTGAGGAATAAGAGAATGACCAGAGAAGGGGTAAGGCCAATCAAGGATTGTAAAGGGAATTTGTGCACGGAGCCTAAACAGACAGGAGAGGTCCTTAATGAATACTTTTCTTCAGTATTCACAACTGAGAGGGACCTAGTTGTAGGGGAAGACAGTGTGAAACAGGCTGGTAGGCTAGAGGAGGTCGAGGTAAGTAAGGAAGATGTACTAGAAATTTTGAGGAACTTGAAGATAGATAAGTCCCCCGGGCCTGTTGGGATTTATCCAAGGATTCTATGGGAATGGAGGGAAGAGATTGCAGGGCCTTTGGCGATGATCTTTTCATCCTCACTGTCCACGGGTATAGTGCCGGAAGATTAGAGAGTGGCAAACGTCACTCCCTTGTTCAAAAAAGGGAATAGAGATAACCCTGGAAATTACAGGCCAGTTAGTCTTACTTCAGTGGTGGGCAAAATATTGGAAAGGGCTCTGAGAGATAGGATTTATGATCACTTGGATAGGCATGGTTTGATTCGTGATAGTCAGCATGGATTTGTGAGGGGTAGATCATGCCTCACAAACCTTATTGAATTCTTTGAAGAAGTGACCAAACACGTGGATGAAGGTAGAGCAGTGGATGTGGTATACATGGATTTAAGTAAGGCGTTTGATAAGGTTCCCCATGGTAGGCTCATGCAAAAGTAAGGAGGCATGGGATAGAGGGAAATGTGGCAGACTGGATTCAGAATTGGCTGACCCTTAGAAGACAAAGGATGGTAGTGGACGGAAAATATTCAACATGGTGCAACAGTGGTGTACCACAAGGATCCGTTCTGGGTCCTCTGCTATTTGTGATTTTTGTAAATGATTTGGATGTAGGAGTGGAAGGGTGGATTAGTAAGTTCGCGGACGATACGAAGGTGAGTCAAGTTGTAGATAGTGCGGACAGCTGTTCTAGGTTACAAAGGGACATTGATGGGATGCAGAGCTGTGCTGAGAAGTGGCAGATGGAGTTTAACCCTGAAAAATGTGAGGTGATTCATTTTGGAAGGACAAACTTGAAAGCAGAATACACGGTTAACGGAAAGATTCTTGGCAGTGTGGAGGAGCAGAGGGATCTTGGGGTTCATGTCCACAGTTCCCTGAAAGCTGCCACCCAGATGGATAGAGTTGTTAAAAAGGCGCATGGTGTGTTAGCTTTCATTAATAGAGGGATTGAGTTCAAGAGCCGTGAAGTTATGCTCCAGCTATACAAAAGCCTGGTTCAGCCACATCTGGAGTATTGTGTCCAATTCTGGTCGCCTTATTACAGGAAAGATGTGGAAGCGTTGGAAAAGGTGCAGAGGAGATTTACCAGGATGTTGCCTGGAATGGAGGGAAGGTCTTACGAGGAAAGGTTGAGAGAACTAGGGCTTTTCTTTTTAGAACGACAAAGGATGAGAGGTGACTTGATAGAGGTGTACAAAATGATCAGAGGTATAGATAGAATGGACAGCCAGAGACTTTTTCCGAGGGTGAGGTAGCTATTACGAGGGGACACAGTTTTGAAGTGTGTGGAGGTAGATATAGGGGAGACGTCAGAGGTAGGTTCTTTACTCAGAGAGTGGTAGGGGCGTGGAATGTATTGCCGGAAAGGGTAGTGGATTCGGCCTTATTAAGGGCATTTAAGCGGCTATTAGATAGGCATATGGATGATAGTATAAGGTAGGGGTGGAGGTTAGATAGACCTTAGGTTTAGAGTAAAAGTTCGGCAAAACATCATGGGCCGAAGGGCCTGTACTGTGCTGTACTGTTCTATGTTCTATGTTCTATCTAAGGATTGTTAATCTTTGGAAATCTCTACCCCAAAGAACAACGAAGGTAGGATAATTGAGTATATGCAATCATAGAATCCCCTACAGTGTGGGAGCATGCCATTCAGCCCAGGAAGTCGTCAACAACCCTCTGAAGCGCATCCCACCCAAACTCACCCATACCCACCCCTACCGTAACCCATGGCTAACCCACCTAGCCTTCACATTCCTGGACTCTATGGGCAATTTATAGCATGGCCAATCCAGCTAACCTGCACATCTTTGGACAGTGGGAAGAAACCAGAGCACCCAGAGGAAACCCACACAGACACAGGGAGACGGGAAGAATGTGCAAACTCCACACACAGTCACCTGAGTATGGAATTGAACCTGGGTGTTGGCACTATAAGGCACCAGTGCTAAGCACTGAGCCATTGTGCCACCCAAGGCCGACTTAGATTTTTGATCTATAAGGGAATCAAGAATTATGGGGAGCAGGCAGGAAAGTGAAGTTAAGGTCACAATCAGATCAACCATAATTTTATTGAATGGCAGTGCAGATTTGATGCACTAAACATTCCTAAATGCTCTTATTTATTATGTTCTTAAGCAGGACATCTGTGGTTAGTTATCTCAGTTGGTTGATGACCACAGTGTGGTACAGAATAAAGCCAACAGCAATGGATCAATCCCCACATCAGCTGTTCTGAGGAAGGGTCACCTGACCCGAAACGTTAACTCTGCTTTTTCCTTCACAGATGCTACCAGACCTGCTGAGCTTCTCCAGCAACTTTATTTTTGTTCCCAATTCAGCTGTGGTAGTTCATGGATGGCTGCCTCCCCACACTTCCCAATGCTTTAGAGTGGTTACCTTCAAGCTATACATAATCAATTCTCTCTCGCTCGGTCTCTAATTGAGAAAAATGCCTATTGTCTTTTGTGGACTATCATTCCCTACTCATGTAGATCATGACTCAAGAAATGCACCTCACCTGAACTTGCTAGTTTTTGCACATCCTTGTTTTTGACTTATTAAGTGACCAGCACACAGAGACAACCAGTAAAGAGAAAATCACTGATTTGGGAGGTAAGATTATCTCTTATTTCAATAGAATTGGTATTTGTGAAGCATCCTATTTCATAGCAAAACACTTTTCATTCCAAACCAAAACTTATCATCAGATTATTAGTGGGGGATTTTGCAATTAATTCTCCATGACAATGACCTCCCCAGCACTTGCTCCCCATCACACCCTGTCTTCTCATCTCTCCAATGCAGAATGTTGCAAGTTGCTAATGGTCAACTGAATGACTGGCACAGACTATAAAACAGTTTTTTAATGTATCCATATTTCAATTAAGAGAAAAATGGAAAGATGTAAAAGTGTCTGCTGGATTGCTATAAACCAAATTTTATCTGTCAGTAAAATTTAAAGTTAACGCCATTACTAAATGTGGCAATGACTCCATTGAGTATTAACTTAACTAAATTCTCCCCCATTATCTTTGTATGTCTCAATATGCTATACATACCTTATATATTAGGCTCCCTCGATTTACTATCTCCTTTCTCTCTAGCTTGACCAGAATATATTCTGGGGAGGAAACATGTGCTGACATCCATACCTGATTGATATCATATTCAACACCAGGTTTTCCTGCAAGACAGAACATAAATTGTTACCTGTGTGCTCAATCTTGATTGAAAAAAATCTCCCATTCATAGTTTAGGAAAGGTTTTGTAGCATCAATATAAAACTTAGAAAAGCAGTGCTAAATCTATCTGTAGTAGGATTCCTATGCTTTGTAACATTCTAATGTCAGGTCTTTTCTTCTGTTGTTAACTGTGTTTCAATACATTTTAGAGCTTCCTCATTACAGCTCAAATGTTACACTCTATAATTCTTGACATAAAATCCAGTATTCCATAGCCCGAGAGTGGCTCACTAGCACCAGTACTGACCAAGCTGGCTGAGTCTTAAAGAATTACAAAAGTGTAGGATTCTAGATATCATTCTGATAAATGTGAGCCTCACTTTCTCCAAGGCCAATATATTCTTTCTAAGGTGTGGTGCCCAAATCTGCTCACAGTACACTAGGTGTAGCCCGAAAAGTGCATTGTGTACAGGTGGAATATGACTGCTACCTCTCTACCTATTCTACTCCTTTCGTTATAAAAGCTGGTATTCCATTGATCTTTCTGATTATTTTCAGTCCCTGTTCAAGATATATTAATAATCCATGCATCTGAACCTCCAAATGACATTGGTCTCCACTCTTTCTAGATGTTTTCCATTTACAAACGACCCAGGTAATTTTGGTCCAAAGTGAATTACCTCATATCTGCCTACATCAAAATTTATTTGCTAGAGTTTTGTGCATTCGCATGACCTATCAATACCTCTTTATAATTGATAAATATGGAGAATAATTGAATCCTCAGATTAATGTGGTCACTAGTAGTCATAATGTCTAATTAATGGGGAGGTAATGGCTTAGTGGTATTATTGCTGGCCTGTTTTAATCCAGGAACCCTGGTAATGTCCGGGGAACCATGTTTGAATTCTGCCATGGCATATGGTGGGATTTGAATTCAATAAATGTCTGGAATTAAGAGCTTAGTGATGACCATGAATCCATTGTCGATTGTTGGGGATAAAACCATTCAGTTCACTAATGGCCTTCAGGGAAGGTCTGGCCTACACGTGACTCCAGACCCACAGAAATACGGCTGACTCTTAACTACCCTCTGGGTAAATGGGGATGGGCAATAAATGATGGCCTAACCAGCAAAGCCATTATCCCATGAATGAATAAAATAATCTGCCAACTGGAGTTCCTGCCTTACTCAGCCAATTTTCTAACTTGGTTAATAAGCTGCCTTCAATGAACATAACATGAACTGAAAGTCTTTGAAGACTTTGTGGAAGTTCTTATACGTAATATCCACAGACATACCACTATCCAACACTATATCCACCTCATTAGAAATTTAATCAGATTTGTCAGGCAGACCTGTCCATCACAAAACAATGCTCGGTCTCTTTGATCACATGTGTGATGATGCTGTGGATTCAAGAGGTTATTTTGTCCTGGTTTTTTAGAAGAGAGGTTATAAGATGGAAGTGCCAGCAATCTACCAAAATCACTAGAGTAAACAGCTTGTGAGGCCTTGGGTTTTTTTTTTAACTTGGAACAATAGAAACAGGCTGAATGGGTGGGGTGGAGCTCTCACAGAACCAGGATTTTTAGGTTTTTCAGCAGCAGATGCTGCTAGGGTCTCAGCAGGGTTGTAAGACAGTGAATCTCTCCCGGCTGCTACACACCCTGAGTTTTCTCTGGATGTTTTCTCTCCTGGGTTGCTGGACCCATCAGTGAGCTTCAAAACTCGAGATAAATCAGTGCAACAGGTTGAGGGGAATCCTGAGAAACTTCCATTTCCCCCTTCCATCAGTGATAGCCCCTCAACGTTTTAGTGTGTAGACTGCAAAGTTGTCCTCAAATGCTTGAGCACTCTGTAAGACAATGTTAAGCCAGTGAAAGCAACACATTGTGCATCTGTTCTCGGTGGACCAATGCATTATAAGGGAGAGTGAACATCTTTAGCTGCCCTTTGTACATATCCAAGACTTGAACAGCAGTAAATTGTCCTGAAAATCTGCTAGACAGAAAGGAACTTTCCCTCCAGAGATGTGATAAATCAATGATTCTGCGCTCTCACACATTACACGGATATAAGTGCAGAATGCGTGTGTAGGCCTGGCTGTAGCACAATGCCTGCATACACTGTACTGAGCCTCAGGCTTATCCAAATTAATGTACAATGCCCCGAACATGATGGTTCAAGAATCCTGGGCATTTGATGCTATCCACAGTAAAAGATTTGACTGCTTATGAGATGAAATAACTCCACAGAGGCCGGTATCACATCACCAGGTCACCCTTAATTTACACATGAACAGTCCTTGATTTTAGTACTGCCTCTTCAGAGCCCCTTTTCTGATGAAGGGTCTAGGCCCGAAATGTCAGCCTCTCTGCTCCTATGATGCTGCTTGGCCTGCTGTGTTCATCCAGCCCTGCACCTTGTTGTCTCAGCTCTCAGAGTGTTGGTTTCTCTGATAATCCCCTTTTTATCTGTCATTCAGGGCTCCTTGGTTGGACCAGATTAACAGTCCCAATCAGGCAAAGATCTGTTGCTCGGGTTGTGAATGAGGTTGTTGACTTACTCACCGAGCTGGCTTGTTTTTGTTCAGATGTTTCGTCCCCATGCTAGGTGACATCATCAGTGGAGCCTCCGATGAAGCGATGTTATTTTACTCTGCTTGGAATTTATACTCTCTGGTCCATTATGGTGAGTATGTCATTTCCGGTTTTGATCTGTATGGGTTTATGTATGGCGTCCAATTCTATATGTTTGTTGATTAAAGTACGGGTGGAGAACCATGCCTCTAGGAATTCCCATGCATGTCTATGTTTGACTTGGGCTACTATGGTTACTTTGTCCCAGTTAAACTGATGGCCTTCAGAGTTCATCGTGCCGTTCTGCTGCTAGCTGATGTTCGTGTATTCTGATGGCTAGTTTCCTTCCTGTCTGTCCGATGTTTGACAACTGGACCCTATGCATGTCCAACCACTTTGAGTGGTTGTTACAATGACTAAGAACATTGAACACATGAAAAGACCTGCCTAGTCAATGTGTAACTAAGTCCAAGGTTTACCCAACCATTCCCACAGATGTGACAGAGCTGCTGGTGGTAATCTTTGTCCTTGTTGGCATTCTGGGCACTGCCCCACCAAAGCAGCTATGGCTGCATTCAGGCCTGGCCACCAGACATTACTTCTTGCCAATATCTTCACTTCGGAGATTAGCCAGTTTTTGGTGGTGATGTCTGCTTGGGACAATTACTCTTGCTCCCCATAACAATACGCTGTCTTCTACTGTGAGTTGGTCTCTCCGGCCCAAAAAAGTTTCAATTGTAGTCGTGATGGCCCTTTGGTTTCCCCCATCACCACCAGTTGTTTCAGTTTTGAAAAGACTAGATCTTTCTGCGTCCAAAGTCTGATATGGTCAGCTGTGACTGGGAGCATATCTGGAAAATTTAGTACCATTCCAGGTTTTTCCACTGGAGGTACCAATGCATCCGCATTCGCTACTGCCCTCCCGGACAGTGTTCTAACTTGTAATTATAAGCACTTAGTATTACAGACCACGGTTGAATGTGGCCCAAGCTGTGGGCAGCACCGACTTGTCAACTTTAAGCAGACCAATGAGGATGGTGAGGATGGCAGACTTCCCTCCCTGAAGGACTTCAGTGAACCAGATGGGTTTTTCCAAACGGCAACGGTTTCATGGTCATCAGTATATTCTTAATTCCAAATTATTCTTGAATTCAAATTCCACCATCTGCCATGGCAGGATTTGAACCCGGGTCTCCAGATGAAAAACTAAAGTAATTGTATCAAAAAGCATAGACAAAGAAAGAATCTTAGTGTGTCCTAGAATGTTACTATCTTAAAAATGAAGTCTTGATGAAATGGAGACCGTCACCAAGCAGATAAGAAATGGGCAGAAGTTCGTTCATGGATTATAGAAAGGAGGTGCTGCAGGTAGCAAATGAATTACCAGTGGGAGGTCACTTGGGAGTAAGGAAAACTCAAGCGAAAATACAAAAACATTTTTATTGGCTTGGACTGCATAAAGATGTGGTTGAATTTTGCCAGACATGTCAGGTAATTGGAAACCCTCAGGCAGTGATAAAACTAGCACCCTTAATACCCATTCCCACATTTGAGGAACCTTTTACAAGGGTCTTAATTGCTTGCACAGGACCCCTACCTAAAACATGTGACTCCAGGCCCACAGCAATATGGTTGATTGTCAACTGCTATCTGAAATGGCCTAGCATTTCTCTTGTTTCAACCTGTAGCTTTGTTCCAGATTCCCATCACTCTCTGGGTGAAAAAGATTTTGGTTCACATCTAAACCTCTTGCCCATTAATTTAAATCTATGCCCCCTGGTTATTGATGCCTCCATCAAGGGGAAAAGTTCCTTCCTGTCTAGCCTATCAATGTCCCTTATAATTTTATACGTCATAAGCATGTCACCTCTCAATCTCCTCTGTTCAAAGGAAAACAACTCCAGTCAATCTAATCTCTCTTCATAATTAAAAATCTCCAGCCTGGACAACTTCCTAGTAAATCTCCTTTCCATCCTCCCCAGTCGAATCACACCCTTTCTATAGTGTGGATTCCAAAACTTCACACAATACTCTAGATGTGGCCTAACCAACATTTTATACAATTCCAGCATAACCTCCCCACTCTTAAAACTTTATGCCTTGGCTAATAAAGGCAAGTATCCTATATGCCTGTCCCACTATCTTAAGGGACTGGTGAACATTCACATCAAGGTCCTTCTGATCTTCAGTAATTCCCAGGTTGCTACCATTCATCATGTATTGCCTTGTATTGTTTGTCCTGCCAAAGCGCATCACCTCATATCTGGAGAATTTATTCATCTCCCACGTAAGAGCACTTGACGTCAGACAGCCAGAAAGATACCGAAGTAGGCATTTTAGAGTGCCAAAGAAGATTTATTTACTAAAGTGCAAGCTCATTGAAAATTATGTGTCAGCCTGTACAATTTATGTGCCCTCA